TGAAATGAAGATGTATTAACCAAGTGACAGAACTGAGATCCAAAAATATCTGGCTCTGTAAGGGTCCAAAATTGGTTAGATGGAATTTAACGAGAGGTAAACATAAATCTCTTTGAACTAAGTGGTTTTGCCATACTTGTGTTATTGATGATTACAGAAAAACAGTAATGGGAAAACTTGGCCTGACTAGAGGTCAAAAGGCTATTCATTGACCTGCAAAAGGCTTTTAATTCAGTGTGAGTCTCAGTGTGACATGGCTGCTAAAAATACTGATGTGACCTTAGACTTAATTCACTGAAATGGTGTTGCCATCAGAGTCCTGTGCCTTATTCACACCACATTACCCTGTATGGTAACACATCAGGGGTTCACCTGGTGTTTACCTGGGGAAGGGATGGCTCTGTGAAGCATGGTGGCTGTCATCAGATATGTAAAAGGCTGCCAAATGGAAGTCAGGAGAACTTTTTGTGCTGTATTTGAAAGTGCTGAACTAAAACTAAAGAGAAGACCTTAATGGGAGAGAGATTTGGAATTAGCATAAGAAAAATCTTTCTGACAATTACATCTGGGTTTGAAAATTAAATGGCCTTTATTACACATAGCTTATAGTCATTGTAAGTGTACAAGTAGAAACGGAATGATCCTTTTTGTGGGTGTTTAGAAGAAAATTCTGCTCTGAATTTGGATGAAAGTTGATAGAAAACAGAAGACAAACAATATTTTTTCTGATATGTTATTTAGTACAATAATATGCCAGTTGCTGTATTAAGCATTTACTGAAGGCCCTTCTTGTTCAAGGACCTGTGATTCTATCGAAAGTTGATAGAAAACAGAAGACAAACAATATTTTTTCTGATATGTTATTTAGTACAATAACATGCCAGTTGCTGTATTAAGCATTTACTGAAGGCCCTTCTTGTTCAAGGACCTGTGATTCTATTAGGGAGACAAGGACAGGAAGGAAAAGTGTCATTTTGGCAGGTCTGTGTCTGTCTGCTCCACTACTCATCCTTCTTTCATTTAGGGCTTAAATAATATAATTCCTTTTTTTTTTTTTTTTTCTTACCGGTAAGGGGATCGCCACCCTTGGCGTGGTGTCGCCCGCACCGCGCTCAGCCAGTGAGTGCACCAGCCATCCCCATATAGGATCCGAACCCGTAGGGAGACAAGGACAGGAAGGAAAAGTGTCATTTTGGCAGGTCTGTGTCTGTCTGCTCCACTACTCATCCTTCTTTCATTTAGGGCTTAAATAATATAATTCCTTTTTTTTTTTTTTTTCCTTACCGGTAAGGGGATCGCCACCCTTGGCGTGGTGTCGCCCGCACCCTGCTCAGCCAGTGAGTGCACCAGCCATCCCCATATAGGATCCGAACCCGCAGCGGGATCCTTACTGGACTAGCAAAGATTAAAAATAATGTACAGTATTGGCAATATTAGATGGATACCAGTTATCTCTCATGTGCTGGTGGAAAAGTAAGTTGGTAGAACCTGTCTGAAAGGCAATTTGGTAATATATAACCAAAGCCTTAAATAATATGTGCACTCTGAAGCCGAGTAATTCTACTTCTAAAATGTAACCTCAGTGGGAAACACTAGATATGTATACAGGGACCTGTCTGAAAGGCAATTTGGTAATATATAACCAAAGCCTTAAATAATATGTGCACTCTGAACCCGAGTAATTCTACTTCTGAAATGTAACCTCAGGGGGAAACACTAGATATGTATATAGGGATATGTGTGTGTGTGTGTGTGTAACACTATATATATATATAGAGAGATGTGTGTGTGTGTGTGTGTGTGTGTGTGTGTGTGTGTGTGTGTGTGTGTGTGTGTGTTCATCTCAGTGTTTTCTAGTGTGGGGAAAACCCAGTATACATTAAAACAACTTACCTCAGGGTACCGATTAGTTAAATAACAGCAGGATGGTGTGGCAGGAGAAACTACTGGTTAGACTCATGGACTCTGAATTATCTGAGTTTAAGTTCTGGCTCTGTCACTTGTTAGCTGTGTAACACTGGACAAGTTACTTAACTTAATTACTGAGCCTCAATTTTCTCATCTACAAAATATTGGTGAGAATACTTGAGTGATGGTGAGGATAAACGGGGCAATGCTCATGAAGTCCTCATCGTGATGCCTGGCTTATCCTGTGTGCTCAATAAATGACAGCAGAGTCGTTGGTGGGATTATTATTATGGTGCATCCATATAATGGAACATGTAGCAGCCACAAAAAATAATGACATAAATATATGCTTATTCACTCAGGAAAACATTCAGCATGTATTGTCAAGTGGAAAAAGAGGAGCAGGAAAGAGAGAGAAAGCAAGCTCTAGAAGTCCGTGCCCCAGAATGCTAACTCTGGTTGTTTCTGAGTATAGAGATTATAGGTGAATTTAGTTCCATTTCCTCTACAAGGATTTGTCTTCTCTAATTTTTGTACAATGATATGTTGGCTATTAATCGTGTGACAAAAATGTAATAAAATTTAAAAAATCACAATGACCTTGAGTTCCCACAGTTTTGGCAAAAGCCTAGGATGTACGATTTCTAACAAAATCTGGAATGTGCATGTTTCATGTATCTTACTGCAGCTGCATGGAGCTCCTTTTTAGATAGTTTCATGACTATTTTAAATTGAGGGTGAGAATCAGGTTTCCTGGTGTTTCCATTCACTTCTCCATCTTCCCAGATATCTACAGTGTAATACTTTGAAAAGTGGTTGTATTTTTTTCTTTAGTATTGTTACCTCTCTTTGGATTTACTCCTTTCTGACTTCTGTACATCTTTTGTTATTTTTATTATTTTATTTAACTTTTGATTTTATAAATATTTTACATAAAATGGTTTTTTATTAGAGTTTACTTTTTTCCAGGAGATCTAATTCAAAAGTATGTGGACCATAAAGTGCATTTTACAAACTAACCCCTTGCTTAAATATTGTTACACTTCACATCTTAAAGATTAAAGATTTAAATTTAATCCATTTTCCTTAGAAAGCATCATAAAGGCCATGTACCAGGCTGGAGGAAAATCAATGTCTTTTTTAATGGATACCATATATGTTAAAAAGTAAATTGACCTTTATTCATGGCTTTGTCCATTTCATGCCACTTTTGTTCAATTCTATTTGGTGAAATAATTTTTAGTATCTATCGAGCTCCTCCCTGAAAACTGTTTCAGTGGTTACTAATGATTCATTAGCCATTGTTTCAACAGGGTTGTCCTTGAATTCACAGCAACATTGAGAATTATGTTTGTTCCAACACATCTGTTATATTAGTCAGCTTTTAGTTCTCTATTATGGGAATCTCAGAAACCATTTGACTGGGTTCAAGTTATCTGTGAATTTTCATAATATTTTATGGCCACCGGCTGCATTTTATGACTATATATTAAATGTTTTATTTTTTCAAATAACTTTTCCAAATGGTCTCAGTTTCCCATCCAAGGAAAATCAGGCATATGCCCAAACATCTACTGTTCAGCAAGTTACAGCTAGTGTGAAACCCCAAATAAATGAAAAAGAAACAAAAATAAAAGTCTTCTTTAAAAAAGAAAAATCCCGTGTAAAATACCAGTGTTCCCAAAAATCTGCATACCTGACCTTTTATTGAATCTTTTCTTAGTAGGACATGGCTTCAGCTTTTAATTGGAACCTTTTTCATAATTGTTGCCATTTAACACATTTAGTCTGTCAAATCATGGAATGTCTTTATAGCCATATAATAAACCCTAGAGAACAACTTCTCTGACTGTAGCCATCTGCAATGATCACAAGAGCAGCTTACAAAATACTGACAATCTTTACGGTAATAGGATACATATGGCAGCCCACAATTATGTGTAGCTGCATTCAATTAGTGTTGTACAATTACACAGTTTTATTGCTTAGTTAAAACAGTGAAAGCACTACATACTGGGTAATTTGCACTAATCCCCGTCTCTTTAATAGCCCCTCAGTGTTTAAAATGTGGGGGAACATCTATAGTATTTAAAGGGCCTAGGATGAGCATTAAATGATATCTCATGTTGTGAATACTCCTTGAGTGACAATTAATGTACTCCCACTTCATGTGTGGGTCATGTTTTATAGAGACTTTAAAATACAGTTATAGCACCAAGTGCTCCTTACACCAGAACCCTGCTTGCTGGCTCAGGCTGTCCAAGCCTACCTTTGCAGGCTGCTACTGTCCATTCTGAAGGATGGTGAGGATGGTCAGAAACACTGAGGAACAAAGTCAGAATTGGTTCAGAGAGGAGTAGAAGCCAAGGACTTGGCCTTTTAAATGTGAACTTGTTAAAAGCCTTTCCTACTTCCTAACTTTTAATTACAAACTTAGTTCAAAGTGAATTTATAGCTGCCATTTGAAAAAATACTTGCTAGAGATGGTTTTGCGAAGATGTGTGTGTATGTGTGTGTGTGTGTGTGCATGTGCACACTTGAAACAGATGTATTTAGCAATCTGATTTTTAACCAGTTTTAATTACATCTTCAAGTGGCCTCTCTCATGCCCCTCTGTAATTGGCTGGGTAAGAGATGGGGGTGAATGCAGCTCAAGTTGCAGCAGGAGCCCACGGTGAGCACCAGCGTGAGGAGGCTCAGGAAAGGGGCTCTCCCAGTGCAGGAGGAGAAACACCGGCATGTTCTCCGTCCTTCTCCCAAAGTGTTGACAGAGAAAAACCCAAAGTAACCTTGTTTCCTGCCCTGCCTGACAGTGAGTTCAACAGAATTTCAAATTAGAGGCCTAGACATTATTCACATGTGAAAACATGTTGTTGCAGCATTGCTAGTGGACTCATGTCTAGATATGTTTTCAATTACATGGGATAGGCCTTTGTCTCTAAGCCCTCACTGTCTCTCCTAAACATCACTTGAACCTCTCTATGTTCATGAAAATTCTACTGTCCGGTTTTCAAAGCAAAAGAAAAACATTGGACAAATTGTTAAAGAGAGAGAAAAAGAACATTAAAATTATAGATTGTGTGTATTTTATTTAAATGGGTTTGGGATTTTTAGCAGTATTATTACTTTTAGGTGCCCATTTTCTTTATTTTAGGTAGGATTCGTAGTGGGTTTTTTTTCTTAGTTATTGAAACTTTGAATGATATTTCTTATCTGTATTTAATATAATTGGTGTACGGCTATATGTTAGATGGAATTCCTATGAAAATGGAGATGCTCAAAAATAAAACCTTTGCCACATGTAAGAGAATTATGTGGTCATACTCAAAACTAAATGGGACTTATGACCGGCTCCATCAACATCTGCTTTTGTCCAACTTTTGAATAAAATTAGATGACATAGATACTACATTCAGAAAAAAGCTACAGAATTCTTGCATAAATGGAGTCGAATAAATCAAAATCTGTACAACCTCACAAAGCACACATCATGAATGTTTGGACCTAACAGAACATCAAAGCAAGAGATTATTTTTCATTTTAGAAAGGTTATTGGTAACAAAACGGAATTAAGGAAGTAAACAATTCTTCTCTGTTTGGGAAATAAACTAGACAAACTATTAGATGTTTCCATCTCAGATTTCTTTCCATGAAAAACATTTGCTTGTCATTTGGATGACCACAACAGCTAACGTGCTAAGATTAAGACTATAATTTAGGGATTTCTTTTGCCTGAGAGCATTTAGGCTGGTGACAATATTGTGTTTTGCAGTTCTGATGCCTCAAAGCCTCTAACTCTGACCAGATTATAGTGACCAGGGCTGGACAGCTTCTTCATTAAGTAGGGAGGACAGTGTCCATCCCAGTGACAACTGGGCAAAGCCACATCTGTGAAGGACACGTGGTTGTCTTTGCCCTAAAAACCCAAGTGCATGTGACCTCACAGGTCTTTGGATGCCTCCCCCTGGGCAGTCCAGACTTGGTCATGACCCAGAGCCCTTGGGGAGAAGACCCTATGTTATGAGTGACGAGAATATAAAAGAATATTTTCAGCCAAGAAAAAACACAGTCTTTCCAGAGAGGAGGATGTAACTGCCTGCCTGCCTCTGCCAAAGCACTTGGATCCAAAGGATCACTGCTGATATTGCAGCTTAGCTGGCCAAACATCTGCACTCTATCCTGCAGAAATGCAGAGCTAATCTACTTGTTCCAAAAGAAGGCAGACATGGTGAGTGAACAGTAGCGGCGCTCCTGGTGTGGGGAGCTGCATTTTGCTGTGTAGGAGGTTCAGTCTGCTGCAGCGAGTAACAAATGGTCACAGAGTGATAACAGAAGAACAAGTAAGCCTCAACTTGCTGAACGAATCATTTTGATGTACATGGAAAAGTTCACCATTTCCTTGAGGCGTCTCCTAAAGATTGCCCTAGCTGGAAATACTAACCTTTTACTGTGGTTTTCTTTTCTTTATCTCATCGATTCCAACAGAGGGCACCGAATTCTGAATGCCCTTTGATCGTTTCTTTGAAACAAACGTTGTCTGGGATACTTTTTAGAGCAGATCCACTTGGTTTGATCATGGCTAGAATTAAAGGAGTCTAAATACTTGCCTAGAGTCACAAACATCCTTTTCTTGATTTGTTGGGTGAAAGACTGGATACTTTTACTGCCTTAATAAGGAAACCTGGACAGAATACCTACTCTGCACCTGATAAATCTTTCCAAATTGCCACAGGTGAAATGAAATGTTAATATCCCTTTCAATTATTAATAAAAATATATAAATAGGTCTTATTAGGAATGTGCAGCACTGAAAATAAAATATTTTAGTATATGTGTAGGGGTTTTTTTGCTGTTGTTCAGTTACTGAAGAACTGCATTTTTAAGGCTTCTTTTGTATTGGAATGAAAAGATAATTATTTTCATAAATTGGAGATACTGCACTAGAGGCTTTCTATACTTCATTTTGTTATGCAAATCAATTTTAATTGTAGAAAACATCAAATATGGATAAGCAAAAGGAAAAACACTTCCATAATTCCGCCACCAGAAACACCAACACTGTCCACCAGACACACCAACACTTTGTTCTTTCAGACTTTTTTCCTTGCACCTATTTATTTTCTTTACTAGACATTTTATACAGACCAGCCTGAAATCTGCTGTCCTCATTTCCCAAACAGAATTCATTTCAGTTAATACAAACCTACATCACCATTTTGATGGTAATATAGCATCCACTATGAATTCTCATTTGCTAGTTATTTGTCATGTTTCCAATTTTACAGTCATCTAAAGAAAGAAACATATCTTGTATATATATCTTTGTATAATTGCCTTATTTTTTGTACTTTTTAGACATTAAATTTAAACCACAGTGTCCCTCAATTCTTCAAGAAAAGGCTTTTGAGTTCTTGATTTTAAGGTGATTGTACTTTTTACTTTTATTTCAGGTGTATGAGCACCAAGATGGCAGCAAATCACTGAAGCTGGGTGACTTTGGACTGGCCACCATTGTAGATGGCCCCCTGTACACAGTCTGTGGCACCCCGACATACGTGGCTCCAGAAATCATTGCAGAGACTGGGTAAATGCTTCTCTTATGTTTAAGTGCTATGCTTGCAAAAGAAGTAGCCTGCTTCAAGAATAAGAAAAATAGTGCTGCATGTCCCATCCGGGCAGAATTAGCTACCAGGTTTCTTTCGCCCCCCTTTTTTTTTAAACTTTTGCAGTGGGAGCCATTTTCTCTGTTTTCCCAATCAAGTTGCCAATTACTGCAATCTTGTTTAAGGCATCCATTTGGCCTTTGTTAGAGGCAGAACAGAAGTTATTAACCACAGAGTGAGAAATGTTCAGACTAACCAAGAAACATACAGCCATGGTAATTAACTCACTTTTGGCGATAACAGAAACAGACATTGCTGTGTGCAGTGATTAGTCTCCTGTGGTCATTTCTCTCAGCTGCCCTCGTTGTCTAGTCCCAGTCCCATTTTGTCCCTCTCGGAGATCAATTGATTTTCAGTGGAGCACAAACACCCTTAGACATCAGAGGGCCACTGGGAATTTGCTGGTTTCTGTGTGCAGAATCATATGAATGACAATCTCGACTCTAGAATGGGGGAGAAGGCAGGGTATCCTATTACTTACTAAGGACCTACTATGTTCCGGGCTTTAAACTCATTTACTTAATTCTTACTCTTCTAGTAGATGGTACTATTCTCATTTTGCACATGAATAAACAGAGACTCTGAGGGTTAAGTATCATGTAAGCTTATAACTATCAGTGGCTGAGTCAGGATTTGAACTCAGGTTGACCTGAGCCAAAAGCTTTCTCAGTAAAGAGCCTATGTCTTACCAAGAGCCATAGGTAGGGCTCTGAGGTGCTGTCCTTAAACAGAAGGAATGGGGAGGGTGGGTGGCATTAGCAGTTTCAACACACACCTGGAGATCTAGGTGGCACCCTGCACTGTGACCACTTAGAGATAGTTTTTCTACTTATACCATAGACCAAAACGGCAGAAATACAGAACAGAGGAGAAGGGAATCCCAATAGGGAAATTCTAAGATGAGATGTGAAGGTTTTTAAAATTTATTTATATATATGATTTTTACATTCTAAGATATTACAGAGCAGTTGGGGGGGAGGGCAAGAAGGAAAGGGGGAGGGAAATAGGGTGAGGAGGGGGTGTGGTTGAGACATGTGGCACTCCCCTGGAATGAGGATTTTTTTATTTGTCAAAGTAGAGTGAGCCCACATCTGCACCCCTGCCAGACCTCCCTCAGATGGTGCTGCCTTGGGCACAGCCACATGTTCTCTGGGGACGTACTCTGAGAGCCTGCTGGGAGGGAGTGGTGTCAGGTGGAAAGACGATTTGTTTGTGCTCTTGAAGACCTCAGTAGGAGCCCAGCTCTGACACTGACTAATTGTGTGATCTCGAACAAAGTTACTCACCACTGGGAACCTCGGTTTTCTCCTCTGTAAACCAGGAAATACTTGACCTGTCCAACCTACAGGGTTGTTGGAAGAACAGAAGAAGATAATGTATGTCAGTGCTTTATAAATCAGAAAATGTTCTGTAAATAATTACTATTCCCAAAATGAGGGAGCTAGATAGTCTCAAGGGTCCATCCCTGTCTCAAAATTGATAGGACTATAATCAACATTTTTGGTGAAATCCTTCACTTATTGATATTTGGATATGAGCCCAGGCATGCATTATTTTGATTTTTATTCATGTGCCTTTGGTAGTCTTTTTTTTTTTAATTATTTTTTTTTCTTCTTTCCTTGAATTCTATTTAGCTGGTGGGTTTTAATTTAGTGTTTGTGATTAAGTTTTTTATTTTGTTTGATTGTATTTTTGGCTTAGAATAAAAGAGTCGTCTATTCTAGTATGCCCCATAGTCTGTCCTGGCCTGACGTTCCTAACTCTAATGTCTTTTATTTTTCCAGATATGGCCTCAAGGTGGACATCTGGGCAGCTGGTGTCATCACTTACATCCTGCTGTGTGGTTTCCCTCCATTTCGTGGGTATGGGCAGCGACCTTTTATCTGGCACCAAAAAAGCGTTTCTCTATTCTGCAAATGATCCGTTTGCTCTTGCACAGAGCAGCCTGCAGCAGGAAAAGATCATACTAAGAACTTTCCTTGCAACGCCTGTCATTTTCTCCATGTTGTGCATGCTAACTTATATGCCTTCCATAAGTCTTCCTTCATATAGATTAAAAACTCATTCCTTCTTAATTTACCAAAACAGTTCCATATTGATATTTTCAGTTGCTTAAAAACACACATTTTACAGATATATGGGAAAAGGAAGGGCCCCAGTGCATAAGAATGTCATAACCTGAGTTGACATTTTAGTGCTGTTTTTTCCTTGTCGTTCATCTAAACAGAAGTGGGGATGACCAGGAGGTGCTTTTTGATCAGATTTTGATGGGGCAAGTGGACTTCCCTTCTCCGTACTGGGATAATGTTTCCGATTCTGCAAAGGTAGGTCTCAGTGCCTTCCTCTTCCATATGCCCTGTGTGTCTACATGGAATTATTGATTCCAAATCATTGTGTGCAAACAGACTAATAGTATCATAAATATGATTTCTGTACACATTTTAGCTGTAATTTCTAGGTTTTGCAGGATTTCACAGTCATCGAGTTATCTGTCTGTAACTGTCCCAATAGGTGCTTATCAAGTGCCTCCACCTCACTGGCTTCCTTTCCCCCGGTTGTCACTCCAGTGACGTGGCTATAACCCCTCGCTGTGCCCCACCCTCGCCAGGCTTGAGACCACTTCAGACTTCTGCATGGCGTTTTGCTTCACTTCTTTCAGGTCTTGACTTAATGTCTTTTCTCAGCGAAGTCTTCCCAGACCACCCTGTTTCCAATTGCAGCTCTTAAACCACACCTGTCTCGCCTAATCTTCCTCTTCTGCTTTTTTCTATAGGCCTTACACCCTTATGTCGATCTGGTATACCATCTAACTACCTAGCTCTATCTCTCTACCTTTCTAGATCACTAGAGCCATATGGATAGGTGGTTAGGTCTTATTTCTATAGTTCATTTCCAAACTCTCCCCACTAGAATGCAAATTCTTTGTAGGCAAGGATTTTCGTCTATTTTGTTATTGATATATCATCAGTGCCTGAATCATGAAAAGTACATAACTGGTGTTCGATATATATTGAATAAATAAATAAATATATGAGTGAGTGAATTAATCAATTAACTAATAAAGGGAAGAAAGCTCAACCTCAATGTAGGTTAAAAGATTGAGAACGACTTTACGGGGAAGCTATGATTTAAGTTGAACCCTGAAGGATATCCAAGATTTAGAGGCCGAAGGGAACAAGGCGTACGGTTTTTTCCCATCAGACTAAAAGACCGACCTCGAACGTGTATGGTGGTGATGGCTGCAAACAGTGTGAATGTACTGAACACCACTGAACTATGCACTGAAAAATGGTTAAAGTGGTAAATTTTGTGTATATTTTACCACCTTTTAGAAAATAATGATAACGGATCAACCTGTAAGAAAACTGGAAACATCATACATTGAGATATTAGTCACCTTGGGGGAAAAAAGGAAAACCTTTTAATTGATCTTTTTAAAATTTATATTGTCTCCAAGCACTGACTTCAATTTTTGAAAATTTAATGTTGAGAAATAATTATCCTGTGGTCGTTCAATGTGTATGCCTTTCCTTTTGCTATGTCCTCAGTGTGAGTTCAATTTAAAAACCAGCCCCTCAGACCTGCCCACTTTGTATAGAAGATAATGTGTGTTGGATGCAAGTCTCATTTTCTTCTGCTGTCTAGGGGCCTGCCTCTGGATTTAGGAAAATGTAGGGATTGAGAGAAGTGTCAGAGGAAAGGTCCAAGGTTTAAGGAGGTGGGAAGATACAGCTGCCGAGGTGTGGGTGGAGTGTTTTCACCTGTAAGCAGCTCTTCAGGAATCTGCTCAGCTCTCAGTGGCGTCACTTCCTAACAGTCCTTGATGAATAAGACCATGTCCTGTGCCCCCACGGCACCTGGCAAAGGGCATCACAAACAGCAGGTGCTTGAATAAGTCCTGGTCCGAGTTAGAAGGAGAATGAAGAAAGCTGAGGTAGACTCTATATCAAAGGAAATAAATCATCTCCACCCGAGTGGTCTCAGGGCCCATGTATGTAAGGACGTGGATATCACACTTCCAACCGTCTCGTTATGTGGGAACCTCTACTACGAAGTGGATAAATGTGTGACAGAGTCATCATTAACTCAAAAGCTGTGCCTTCCTTTTCCAAATCAATTTGACTTCATGGGGAAGTTTCTTTAATTTCAGAATTGTCAACTCATTTACGTCAATAATTCTATTTTCTTTGTATCAATTAGTCTGGAAATTTTTGAAGCAATTTTAACACATTTCCTTGGAATTCTTTGGCTACTAAAGAATAGTTCTCTATATTTTACCAAGTAGCTGTTAGCAGTTCTGTCTTTCCTCATTCCTTTCTTTCAAACCTAAATTTGCAATCTTGAAATTAGGGGGTAAAATCCATTTTTCCATTTAGCTGCCAAAGTAAAAATTTAATTAAAGTGTCATTCTATTTTCTTTGTATCAATTAGTCTGGAAATTTTTGAAGCAATTTTAACACATTTCCTTGAAATTCTTTGGCTACTAAAGAATAGTTCTCTCTATTTTACCAAGTAGCTGTTAGCAGTTCCGTCTTTCCTCATTCCTTTCTTTCAAACCTAAATTTGCCATCTTGAAATTAGGGGAAAAAATCCATTTTTCCATTTAGCTGCCAAAGTAAAAATTTAATTAAGTGTCGTTAAAATGTGACTTCTCTATTAAGCTAATTAAGAAATCTGTCTTTAAAGTGCAAAACCCTAGACAAAGAAAGTAATATTTCTTTAACTTGTATAATTTCTTTCCTACTAAAAATATTTTTATGAAATTGATTTTAATATTAATTTTATTATTTTTCCACCAACGCAAGCTACTTATTTGTAATTCCAAATGTTCAGCTTTCTTTTAACTTTTGAAGACGTTATTTAGGTAGCTATGGGTAAGTGGAGTTGATATATTTAAGATTTAGAGCTTTTACAAATGCTTTTCCAAACTAAAAGAGAACGCGTGCATTTGTAAACACCTAGATTTTCACCTTAAAAGTTAGATAAATGGGATCTCACGTTCCCCTTTGCAGGAGCTCATCACCATGATGCTGTTGGTCGATGTCGATCAGCGATTTTCAGCCGTACAGGTCCTGGAGCATCCCTGGGTTAACGTAAGTGACTTGCTCCCTGCCCTATATTCACTCCTCATGTCCCTTTTAAAAACCATTTGCAGATTTCCTAATGATATGATGCTGCCTCCTGTTTAAAGTGTTGGGTTTGGGTTTGTTCCTCCCCGTCAAATATGCCAGGGCAGTTACAGGATCTTAGACTTGTTCCCTGAGGGTATCTGATGTCTCCGTGTCATTTGATTCTTGTAGGATTGCCTCCTAACTGGGGAGGTGCACGTGGTCGCTACCCCCACCCCACAACCTACTGTCTGTGAACCAGATTAGGAGTAAATAATCATCATTAAGACAAAGCAGATTTTCTGACTTAGTCTTGCTTTTTGACATTCCTACCAAAAGTACAAGTGACCAAAAGGTGTCTGCATCTAGCTGGGAGCACTCCAGCACAGCACTCCTCAAATATGAGCATGCTGACAACTCACCTGGACCTGGACATCTGCTTAAAATGCAGATTCTAATGCAGTAGGTTTGAGGCTCTGCATTTCTAAAAGCTCCCAGATGATGCCTCTGTGGCTGCTTTTTGAGTACAAGGGCCTAACGATATTTCTTCAGCTATAAAAGAATTCTCCAGAGCAGTCTCATTATTTTTAACCCTATGTCTCTCTACAACAGATTGATAAGATTTGTTTTGATTAATAGTAAACAGCTAATGCAGAGTGCCTTACTCCCAAAGTCTGCCAGCACCATTTTAAGCACCTTGGATATATTAACTGACTGTGTTCTTCCTGACAACTTTATAACTTTATAACCTAGTCACTACTGTAACCCACATTGACAGATGGGGAAGCTCCATAACTAGGCTGAATGGTTCTTATTGCCAGTATAGAAGACAAAGATTTGGATATAGATACGGACATGCACGTAGGAATGGACAACCATAAAACAGCTCATTGATAAACATCTTGCCAGCCTCTCTACTGTACTGAATGATCTGGCTGTAAGTTGAGGGCAACAAAATATTTCATTTCTCCAGATTGTCGCCTTGATGAGTAGTCAAGTGTTTTTTTCCCAAAATAACTAATTACTGAGGACAAGGCGTGATTGAAAACACAGTCAACATGTGAGGTGACAAGAGCTTGGGATCTTGCTCATGTTTTGCCACTTAATGACCAAGGACCTAGGCTCCAGCACTTTCACATCTGAATGTGATTCTTCACACACCACTGGGACGTTACATGAGTGTATGAGAGAAAAACATATATGAACATGAGCACGTAGAAATGTGAGCTGAGGTTTAAGTTTTTTCACATAGCAGAGCTTCCCAACCGGTGTACAGATGTGCAGAGATACTAATCCTCTCAGCCCCTGGGGTAGTGGAGCAGGGCAGACACTGTCCAGGAGAGGCCTCTTCCAGCCACAGGGACCTTTGCATGTACCCCAGGTTGTTAAGCAAAAATTATCCTTTTCTATGATGCAGGAAGGTTTAGGAAGCATCTTATGTGAGCCTAATTACAAACGTATAAGATAGGCAGGGTGGGAATTATTGTACCTATTTTACAGATGAGGAGACTGAGGCTGTGGAGGATGATGTGCCCAAAGTAGCCAAGCTTGCGATTGAGCCAGAATTTGCAGCCAAGTAGCATCACTCCAAGCCCATCTGCTTTAAAGTCCTAAGCACCACACTGCACCACAGCTGCCCTCCCTTTGTTGTAGATGGAAGCACTGTAAATATTGTAAAAGAACTTAGTATGGACATGGGCGTTGTTGTAATGATTCTTAACACAAGTTAGCAACCTTTCCAAAGTAACTTACCTAGGTCGTGGTGCCTTTCCCTTAGGTGTGCAGGGCGGGAGAGGCACAGCCAGCTGCAGCCTCTCTCGGTGGCAGCAGTTGGTTCTGACTAATCTACGTGAGATAATTAGAACGTGGTTCTCGTAACACCAAGGTCAAGGGTGCAGATCCCTGCACTGGCCAGCAGCCAAAACCAAAAAATAATAATAATAAATTTTAAATAAATAAATAAAAGCCCACAGAACACAAATTGTTGAATCGCCTATTAGCCTGGGGAGACTGAGACAGGATGACCACATAGAATAAACTGGAAAGTCTGAATTTGAAATATGGACTTTGAAAGTTCATAAAGAGCCATAGAGGAAAGCGATTTGTAGATGACAAATAGCCATTTTGGACTTCTAAATACATTTTCATCAAAGGACTACTGCGTGCCAGACCTACCGTCCAGGAGCAATGTCTGACACAAGCAGACAGTTACAGGGCAGTGGACAAGGGCTACCCCAGCCAGCCTCTGTGGGCAGGGTGTCAGGGAAGGCTTCCTGCAGGAGATGCCAAAGCTCGGTCCCAGGGGGGGCCCTGGCAAGATGTGGATATTTGCTGGATGATAGCTCTGTGAATGTGAGCAAATCTGACTATAGACATGAAGGGTCTGAGTGCTGAGAACACCATAATACCTTACCCTGATTCCAAACCACATGGCCCCATATCAATAATATCCAAATGCAACCAGGGTAAAGAAATAAAATTAAGAGGCTCTGGCTGTTACCTGTGAAAAACTAGGCTGCTCATTTTCCTAGGGGCACATACACTTACATCAGCAGTAACTTTCTCCCTCTTCAACCTGCTCTGTGCAAATTCTACACATGCTCCCACTTTTCTCGTAATTAGGTCCCATGGCTCCCTCTGGAACTTGGACTTCTGTCATTTTAGTTTTCCTTCTCAGATTCCCTAAAAACATTTCCTAAAAGCAAGGATAACATTTAAGTAATCATCTAGGAGATTTAAAACTAAAAAAACATCCTGTGTATAATTCAAGCAGATTTTACATTCTAAGAGAAGAAAATATACTGGTTTTTGCAAAAACTTTTTTAAAACTGGATATATAAAATAGCCACTTAACTTTTGAAATTATTTTTATGTAGAAACTAAATCAGAAAACTGATTGTTTTCTTTGCCTCAAAAAAAGAAAATGAAAAAGTAAGCTTTCACAACTATCACTTAGTTTTTGTTGAGGTCTGTCAATGCAACAAATAAACAACCAAGCAATTGATGTAATAAACTAGGAATTTAAAAAGGATATCCATTTAACAAGACGTTTTGCATTTTGCAATCAAATTATATCTGATCACGACAGAGGATACTACCTAAAGGGGAGAGAAGTAATGATAATTTTGTGAATCTGATGGAAGTCGTCAGGAAGCTCTTCCTGTGCTCTCATCAGTTCTAATTTTCTCTATCGCTTGTACAGTGACCTTTTCACCTGGCACACTTGGAATTGAAAAGGCAGTGTCTCATGAAACAGAGTCGAGCATAAGGGCAATAGAATCGAAAAACCTGGTCAGCAAAGTCACTTGTTTTAACCTCGTTCCAGGAGCCTTCTCTAAGCTCACATTTATTTTCATATTCTCCGGGTTCAAACCCCGCTGTGCTCCTCTGTACCCTTGACTTCTACTCTGCTGTTGGAAGAGTTGTGAGTGAGACCTCTCTGTGGGGGATTCTAGGGAGCCAGGTGAACAAAGCATGTCCCTAGGCAACCACGTGTCTGGGAGAGGAATGGAGACTTCCGCAGCAGCACCAGCTCACCCAACCTTGGAAGTCATTTCTCTCCTCTGAACCCATTTTCCTACCTGTGAAATAGAGAAAATGGAGAGAGGATCACGTATTTGAAAGGCCTGAGAGTACGAACTTAAGCCCTAGCCCTTCTAGGTACTTTAAATAAATATTTGGTGAATTCGAGCCTGATGAAATGCAAATTGTGACCAATGTTGGTGTATGAGAAGGAGGAAAACTTCTCATTCAAAAAATATCCTGCTTGGGTGTCACAGACTGATGGAGATAATTTGTGCATTATCAGCTCTGTTGCTTTCTCCAGGATCACAGCTACCTCCTTTAATGTATTTGCAAAATACCAACAGGGATTGTGCCGGCTAAGTGTATATCCCTTATTGCCTATCTAGTGGAGAACCATATGACATAGGCACATATAATATAAGAAAGGAATAGGTAATAATATATCTTGATCATTCCAGGGATTGGGGAGAGAGTTGAGTCACTTTCTCCCAAAATGGTGCTTTATTGATAGAAAGGGTAGGTTAGTGATAAGTTCATCAACTGAACTAACATTTCAAAAAAATTCTTATTTGTAATTAGGATCAAATTATCATTTTTGTAATATTTCGAATACATTGCTATCATTGCATTTTTATTTTCAAAATTTTGACCTATTTTATTCCATGTTATTCTCCTGATACTCTAGCATGCTATAATTCTGTGAATCTATGTTTAACCCCAAGTAATTTTCCCACTTTTGCTGATGAGGAAAGTGAGGCTCAGTGGAGTGTCTAGCACAAGGTCTGGTGCCTGGGTTTTGCCTCCAGGGATTCTGATTTAACTGGTCTGCTCTGACATCTGGGCATCGGGACTTTTAAAAGCTCCCAGGTGATTACAATGTGAGACCAAGCTTGAGAACCCTTGTTTTCGTGGAATGGACTGGTTTAAATAAGTCAAGTATAATTATTTAGCCAATTCAAGACTTCCTATCACCTTCCTGGCCTTTAAATTTTATTTTACCTCCTTTTTCTCACCTACATACATTTTTGAAGAGATACTACTAAGTCAGTGTATTAAAAAAGAAAAAAGAACAAGCGAAAGAAGAAAAAATAGTAGACTGGATCACCTCCCAGGATATTTCATGCTTACTAATAAAAATCAGCCCTGCCCACACTATGCATTTATCTTATTGTGGTGGAAGAATTTGTTAGACATTAGATGAACCCCAATGACACTGTAATAATCTATAAAACCACTTTTATCTATATTCATAAACTATAAATGATAGCATAAATAAAAATCAGCCCTGCCCACACTATGCATTTATCTTATTGTGGTGGAAGAATTTGTTAGAAATTAGATGAACCCCAATGACACTGTAATAATCTATAAAACCACTTTTATCTATATTCATAAACTACAAATGATAGCATGGAATTTTACTTTCCACTGGGGCGTCTTGTCCTCTTTGCTCCAAGGTG